CTTCTTATACTTCATTTTTATACTTTTCTGCTGGATGGTTAAGACCAAGGTAAAGCAGGACCTATGCAACAAGAGTTGTAGCTTTTGGGTCTGAGCAAGTACTTATTCTACTGAGCCATCTCTTGGCCCCAAGAATATATTCTTAAACACAAAACAAAACAAAGTAGAAGAAGCGAGACATTTGACTAGCTGGAAATTCAACTTTTATAAGAGGAGGTTTCTATAAGACCAAGTTAAAGAACAAGCAGAGTAGGGGAATGTATTTAAAACATGTTTATTCATTCAGTAAATATTTATTAAGTGTTCAACACAAAAAAACACTCTTCTCAGCCCTGTTCCTCTTCTAAGAGGAGCAACAGAAAACAAAATCATACTCTTATGGGCTTTACATTCCAGAGGGAGACACAGCACGTACAACAGACCCCTACTGTGTAATGAGATAGCAATTCAAGCTGTGAAGAAAAACAAAGCAGCATAAGGAACAGAGAGCGGGATCATGGAGGAAGCATAATTTTGCAGTAAACATTGGAGTAGAGGTCTTCCAAATTACTCAAAAGAGTAAGCCATGCAAAGGCTGAGGTTAGGAGACCAGGCAGAGGGACTTTTAAAATTAGTAATGGACACATTCAGTATAATTTTTTCTTTCTTTTTTTTTTTTTTTTGGTACTGGGAACTCAGGATGTTGCACTTGCCAGGCAGGCGCTTATGCCACTGAGTTATCTCCCTGGCCCTCAATATAACATTTAAAAGATATAAAAGTATATACATGAATGACTGCCAGTTATTCAAACTGAACTCTAAATAAAACCACTGTTCCCAATTTCTTATACATCCTAAACAGTGATAACATTAGAATGTTCAGCACCTTGCTCTTGTTACTTAGCAAGGTTTTTTGGTATTTTAGGGAAGGATCTATAGGATGTTCAGGGTTTCACTAGTAGATCAGACTCGTAGTGATCTGCCTGTTTACAGCCTCCCAAGATCTGGGATTACAGGTGCACACCACCATGCCCAGTCTTACATACTGATTGTGTGTGTCCCTGGGATGGGGTCAGCACAGCAGGAACAGGGAATCGAACCTCAGCCCCTACTCCTGCTTGCAGGTGCTTTAATCCACTGAGCTATTTGGCCAGCCTTAGCAAGCTATCTTGCGGGTATATTTACATAATTTTCTATAGAGCTGCTTCATGACAGCTTATATAGTATTCAATTACTGAATGTACCGTAAGTAATTTGAAGAGTCTCTGCCGATGAGCACTGAAATGTTATAAATCTTATGCTATTATAAACAATGTTACAATGACTCTCCTTACACATTAATCCTATGTGCTTGTACATTTATAGAATAAAGTTTAAGTGTTATTTTGATGGGTCACAGGTTTATGATTTTAATTCTAGTGGCATTGCCAAACTGTTGTTTGTTTGTTTGCTTTGTACCAGGATTGAACTCAGGACCCTGCACTTGCCAGGCAGGTGCTTATTCCACTGAGCTATCTCCCCAGTCTGCCAAACTGTTTTTAATAGAAATTATATCAAATTGTGTGGTCACAAGCAGTATATTTGTTTCCCAACACCCATGTCAACAGGGCAGTATAATAGTTTTTTGCTATTTCTCAAAAAGTAAAAAATTAGTATAGTGTGGCTAGGTATTTTTTCCTGGGCAAGCATTACTTTTATTTCCTTTTTATGAAGCAAGACTCCCTTTGTCCTGTTTACCTTCATCTCTAAAAAGTCGATGCAAGGCCGGCCAGATAGCTCAGCGGATTAAAGCACCTGCCTGGGCAGACGCAGGGGCCAGGGTTCCATCCCTGGCCTGCCATGCCAGCCTGCCCCGCCGGGGCGCACTGCGACAGCAATTGAGACTGGGCATGGTGGCATGCTTGAGAAGCTGAAAACAGGAGGATCACTGAGTCTGATCTGTGTAGTGAGACTCTGTAGGCCCTATACTAAATACATAAAAAAGTCGCATATTTTGAACAGTAATACTACATACAACTCAAAAGATTCAAATAAACAATGGAAAAATTATTGTTCCTTTTAATTTTTCCTCTACTGAATTCTCCTCAGAGGCAGCCACTATACCTATTTACTAGTGACCTTTCAGGGATATTCTACACCTATGAACAAGTACATATTTTTGGGGGGAGGTTTAAAGCACATATGGGGATACAATGTATAGTTATATATTGTGCATGTATCTTGTATTTTTCACTCTAGGTTTCAAATTGCTCTGTTTCAAAATTAAACTGTTTTTCTTTTAGTAACTCCACAGTACTTCACTGTATGGCTATACCGTAAACTACAGCCAACGTGAATGTGCAGAGGACCATACTCACCAGGCCTTGTAAACCGGTGTGGCCATGGAGAAGGGTACATTTCAGCTTCTGCTTAATTAAGGCTATTTTCTATAATTGCCATAATAGCTCAAGAGTGAATCACCATGACCCTGGTCACTGATGAAAAAAAAAATGTTTACTATTTTCTGCCACTGTAAGCAATGCTTCAGTTAAAATCCTTGTACACAATTAAGTTTCATAAATGTGTAAAAGGTATCTGAGGGATAGATTCCTAAAAATGGGATTCCTGGGTAAGTGGTATTTACTTTTAAAATTTTAATAGTTTCTACTAAAATGCTCTGAAGCAGTTTTATCCATTTACATTTCTAATAGCAATATGTAAGAATGTGATTGTACTTCTAATGGCATTTATCCAACATTTAAACTGAGTGCATTTTCTTATGTCTTTTCTTCTTCTTTTTAATGTATTTGGTACAGGGTCTCACTGCACAGCTTGGACTTGTAGTGATCCCCCTATTTTCAGCCTCCCCAGAGCTGGGATTACAGGCGTGCACTATCATGACTGGTCTTGGTAGTGGGGCCAGAACGGCATGTGGTGCCAGGATCGAACCCCTGGTCCCTGTGCTTGCCTAAGCAGGTGCTTAGTTCACTGAGCTATCTCACTGGCCCTTATTTTCTTATGTTTAAGAATATTTTTATACCTGCAAGCAGGCGCAGGGGCCAGGGGTTTGATCCCCAGGCTTCCTATGTTGGCCCCTGTAGCCCGCTGAGACAGCAATTGAGACTGGGCATGGTGCGCATGCCTGTAATCCCAGCTCTTGGGAGGCTGTAAACAGGTGGATCACTACAAGTCCAGTCCAGTAGTGAGACCCTGAACACCCTGTAGATCCTTCCCTAAAAATTAAAAAAAAGAATATTTTATGTCCACTTTCTATGAATCACACTTGTGCACGTTTTTTATTGATTCATAGACCCTACACATTCTTTTAACAGCTTTTAGGTGACACAAGTTGAATATAGCTGAATTTTTATATTTTATTTTTTATTTTTTTATGTATTTAGTACAGGGTCTACAGGGTCTCACTGCTAGATCAGACTCATAGTGATTCTCCTGTTTTCAGCCTCCCAAGCACTGGGATTACAGGCACATGCCATCATGCCCAGTCTTTTTTTTTTTAATTATTTATTTAGTGTGTGTGTGTGTGTGTGTGTGTGTGTGGCCAGCTCAGCCCACCAGGGGGCAGGGCTGGCTGGCATGTG